CACGGCTCACTACTACGACAACGTCCAGTCTGATACGCAACCAAAGCGTGCGATGCACGCAGATCGAGCACACATCGTGGAAAATACATCGAAATGGCTTTACGATTAAGCAAATCTTTTTGTACCGTTCACAAAAATGTGTCAACCGAGCCAGCTAAATATAACTCCGCCTTCTTCTTCAAGCGGCCCTCGCTCTTCAGAGCAATACAAAATGTGCGCACGCGAGCAAAACACTTCCATCCAAATCCACACTTAAATAGTTGAACGAAATATTGCGGTTACCTGCCGTGAAACCAGTCTTTGCAGGCGTCGCATTCGATCATAAACTGGGTTACGTCGTAAGGTAATCTGCAGATGCAATAGACGGGCACAGTCGCCATGTTAGATCAATTCACAACAACAGCCGGAGAGCTGGATGGGGGCAGCAGGAACCTCCCGTAACACAAACTACAGCGATATGAAGAGCCGCGGAGCTGCTCCTACGTCCATTCGAACGTTCCCCCGATCAGACGTTACAATGTTACGATGTTAAAATGTTTCCCGCGCTGCATTGACGTGTGCATGCCCCCTGGTGACTATAAGAGCGCTGAGACTTTCATAAAGCCCAAGAAAATGCATCCTTTCATTGTAATATTGTTACGTCAGTCTACAAGACGGGAAAAATCGCCTTGGTCATGCTGGTCCAGATGAATGGAGCTCATTAAAGGCTTCGGCTGCTTCTCAGGGTTTCCCGGGACGATAGAAAGACGAAAAACCACCGCCAGGGATCTCCAGCCAACCGTCGAACCAGCTGCAGCAGAGTCTATGACACGTTAATAAGGTCTCATGCAGTTATAGAAGTGAGAGGATTAAAAGAACAGGGGTTAGTGTTTACATTTTGACAAGCTGCTCATTTTTAACTATAGCTAGAAATACGGCATTGCGCAAACTAAAAGCAAGTAAGATTATTAGTTAGTAAGTCCGCTGCAGTTGTAAATCGTAATGTTTTTTAATAGAAGAAAACGTAAATCAAAGGAAGAAATGTGGGGTTAATTAAAAACTAATACACAACACATATGATTTGTGAAAACATTCCACAGATACAGATTCCTTGCAAATGAATCAAGTCATACATATTTTTAAAAATGTACCATCAGAGCATGGTCGAAATAATTCAAGCTTCGTGCCAATACATCAAAGTATTATAAAATAAATAAAAAAATTAATTAATTAAAAATCACAATCAAAATGACCGACTGGCAATATGACTGACCTCCAAAGTTTGTCATTGATACGGCATTGCGCAAACTAAAAGCAAGTAAGATTATTAGTTAGTAAGTCCGCTGCAGTTGTAAATCGTAATGTTTTTTAATAGAAGAAAACGTAAATCAAAGGAAGAAATGTGGGGTTAATTAAAAACTAATACACAACATGATTGATTTGTGAAAACATTCCACAGATACAGATTCCTTGCAAATGAATCAAGTCATACATATTTTTAAAAATGTACCATCAGAGCATGGTCGAAATAATTCAAGCTTCGTGCCAATACATCAAAGTATTATAAAATAAATAAAAAAAATTAATTAATTAAAAATCACAATCAAAATGACCGACTGGCAATATGACTGACCACCAAAGTTTGTCATTGCTACTTTGTATGACCAAAGGAAATTTAGTTTAAAAAAAGGGTTTAAACACAGACCAGAGGCCAGTGTCTATGATCAAATCTAGTTAGCTGCATATTAAAATAAAATTGGGTCAGCTGTGTTCACACAATTCAGTTACAACTTGAAACGTAAATGCAATTTTTTACCTATTGGTGGTGCTAGATGGTCTGAGATAGAGATTTGTTGTAGTGTTTAGACCTCGGCCTGTCAGTGTGCTAAATGTCACAACTTTTTTTGTCTTTCTCAGGGCTGCTATAAAGTTAAACTCAGAAAAAGAGGAAGAAGAAACTAAGTTCTTGGTTCACAGAATACAAAATAGTTCAATAATTAGAAACAAATATTTAGAAAAATATGTACTAAGGTTTATATTTATACAATGTTTTTACAGGTTTTATAAAGGTAAATGTAAGACTCTCTAATACCAAGTAAATACAATTTAAGGGATAAGTTGAATGGAACACAATATGTTAATATGATCTCTAAATGTAAATGTCTTGTATTAGCAATGCTTCAAAGTTTGAAAATACAACTTCCAACAAAATACAACTTTGCACCCAACCACTAGAATATGGAAATAACTTTTACTGTACCTTCTGATCACACTGCAAAAAAAGTGATGTTCTTCCTGTATTTTGTTTGTCTTGTTTTCCAGTGCAAATGTCTAAAGCTTCTTAAATCTTATATGAGAAATTGATCAATAAAGTGAGTTTATGACTACAAGAACAACTATCTGCCAATGGGCTCAGAAAAAATATATTTAATTCAAAGGGAACACAAGTTTTCACTGACAGAAGTATGTTCTTGTTTTAAGCATAAGCTCATACATTTTTTTTTTTTTTTTTTATTTCTCAAAAACAAGACATCAGATGTTTAATCTGTAAATGTATCTTGATTTAATTACGTTTTGATATCTGGAAAGCAGTACCTGATCCGCTACAGGATAGTGGGTAAAGTGGGAGTGAGTGAAGCCAGTGATTCTGTCAGCTCTCCACTCTCTTCAAGTAAGTGTCATCTGCACATTTACCCATACATTTTTTTTTTTTTTTTTTTTTTCTCAAAAACAAGACATCAGATGTTTAATCTGTAAATGTATCTTGATTTAATTACGTTAAGATATTTGAACTGGAAAAGGAAAAAAAAAAAACAATAACTGTTTTGCATGAAAAAAATTTAATGCCATGACTATAAGAATTTAGGCCTTATTTTGTGGCAGGGCAAATTAAGACTCTTTAAGACCTTTTTAGAACCACAGAAACCCTGTTATCGAACATTGCTGTTTTCATGAAGCAAAAAGGTATTTTTCTAAAGAACATGACTTGACAGTTTATTCTCCAGCAGGGGGCTGAAAACATGTAACACTGTAAAATCATGGAAAAAGGCATGTGCAACCTGTAGTAGAAATATGAGATGACACGTCATCAACCCTTAAAAACACACATACACAAAGCAAATTATTCTAAAAGAATAAAGACTTTTATTAAGCATTGTAAGTTGCATTCAATTTCCTTCAAATACATCACACCACAATCCATCAACAATCACTCAAACCCAACAGTAGTTCATTCTTTTACAACCCATAAGTTAGGAAGAAACTCCGATCAACTTACGTCAAGGTAACCTACTTAGACTTGCGGCAGGGGACTGAGGGGAATACACCATATTTCTGATCACTAATGTGCAATGAAAAGCTTCAGGATTAGATGGAGAAGTAATGATTCTCGTTTAGAAGCACGTTTATAAGTTCTGAAAACACTAAAGTAAACATCAAATTGATTACAAGTGTACTTGCTTAGGCAAAATCTCAAATGGGAGGGTCGAATATTTCGCAAAACTTGTTTCGAGCTAAGAAAAGGGGGGACAATTTAAGATCAAAGCCTTTTTTTTTCAGAGATGATCTGATAGTATGAATGCAGAAAGCAGCAACAGAGAATAATAATGTATACAGTGATGAGTACACCAGGATTAACAAAATTTAAAGTGGCTAGATAATGTTGGAGTAAATACAACAGAGGTCAATAAATCACAAAAATAATAAACTTAAGGTTAGCGCAAATCAGTTACTGACTAACAGTTAACACCTTTTATAGGACTATTAATGATTATCACCCTTTTTAAATTTTGCAGATGGGCACGGTATTTGTAATGAAGAAGAAACAGGGCAACATGCATTATAACTACACACCATTTTGTTTTTTTTTTGTTTTTTTTTGTTTAATCGTGAGCCATGCAGTTTAGCTGAGACAGTTATACTAATGTGCTACGTTTGATTAAAGAAACCACACTGATCGTTGATCTCTGATGCATGGCATTTTCTGACATGGAAAGAGACATTGTTTTGTTTTTTTCAAGAGCTCAGATTTTTCTAACCATTTCTTGACATATTACCTATAATTGCTAATGTATGACATATTGAAATCATCAGAACTTAAGATGCAGTAGTAATACTAGTTACCCAATGTCAAAACAATCGCACATTTGAAACAAGTAAACTCACAGTGATGAGAAATGCGTTCTTGGTTTTGTCTTTTTCAAATTGTGAGTTTTACGTTTTCAAAAAATAAAGAAGCATTTACTGTGACGATACAAACCCAGTTACAATGGCAAATATACTGTATATATGGTACTTGAATCTCAACTTACTAAAACTAAAAGACTGGCAAATGAAAATCGGTATTTTTCGGTTTCTGCATTTCATCGAGAAAGTAAAATAATTTCATGTAACCAGTTTTGAAACACGTAATATCATTGACGAGGGAGAACCCCGTCTTTCATCATTAAACTGGTAAGATTCTCTGTATGACTTGTATATCTACGTTTTACCGAGAGGTTTCCTCATCATTACTTTGTGGTTTAAACTCACTGACATCGAAGAGGGATTTAAAAAATTCGTAAGTCCTCATTTATCGCTTTCGGAGAGGAAAAAATTTACACCAACTGTAGGCCCTCCATCCTTCCAGATATTCCTTAACACGTAACCTTCCATCAGCCTTCACCCTCTCTATAAAAATAGGTTTACTCTTCTGTTTTTAAGACAGCTGCGCCCAGAGCTTCATCTCTGCGGCCCTCGCCGTCTTCATTTAGTGCATTTAAATGAGGATTAGTATTGCACATTTTAGATTCGTTGCTAAAGGCACTTTCAGGTTGGTTTGTAGCTCTGCTTTCCCCTTCGTTCCCATTGAGCTGGTCTGCTTCTTTACCCTCCACCAAGCCATTCTCTGCAGCTGTGGACCCTTCTAAGGGCAGATGTGGTGTTTTGGTCTCCAACTTCGGCTTCTTTCTGTCTTTTAGCGCTTCATTGGTTGAGGCAGTATATGCAGGATTGCTCTGTTAAAATTAATTTTGTACCATTTTTTACTGTCCATGTCCATCAATCCAATCAAAAATTATGTCATCACTGATTTTTGAAAATAACTAAACACTGAATTTGAATAATTTCATATTATGACCCAGGACATGTGACCCCTGGAACTCTGGGAACCCTGGAAGTCTCTTATGCTCACCAAGGCTGCATTTATTTGATCAAAAATACAGTAATACTATGAAACATTACAATTTAAAATAACTGTTTTTTATTTTAGTATCTTTTAAAATGTTACTTATTTTTTGTGATGGCGTGGTTGAATTTTCAGCAGCCATTACTCCAACATACTGACCCCAAATTTAGAATAACAGTATATGTATTCCTGTTGTTTTAAAATCTAGGAAAACAATATGATTCACCTGGTATGTTCCCTGACTCTTGAACCCTCTAGTGTGGTATTTGGTTCCTCGACCAAAGGTCCTTATAACAGGAGTAGAAATCACACCTCTTGGACGACTGTTCAAAGAAAAGCAATCATTTCAATTTAAATTCAAATTAAAAAAAAAAACAGATAGCAAGTCAATTTAGAATCCAGTATGGCCAAGTATTACTAACAGTAAAATATATATGTATTTTAAGATTATAAACATGATACATAAAAAGAGCAGCCAGCTGAACTCCGCGTGGATCCAGGTTATCAATCTGGAGGCGACAGATGTAGCGACAGTCAAACAAAGCTCTTAAGGTTAAATAAGCAGCTACATGTTAAACCACCCAGCAGATAACAACCCCCTCCCCCTCAGCCAGAGCACAAAGCAAGCATGAACAAATCATAGTCTATCCATACATGTAGACTAATGCACAAACCTCCCCAGCATATTCTGTCAGCGAGAGCAACCAGCAATGGCAGCAGCGAAGCAAAAAGCGTGTACAGAACTGACAGACATGGACAGCCACGACACAGCACAGCTAGTGTGGATGGTTCACATTTTTTATGAGCTCATAGCCATATTGACTAAAATGAGCAGGGAAAAAGCAGCTCAGCTAGGCAAGTAAACCATCTACACAAAAAGACCACATTCCTAGCACTCAAGTTGCTTAAATGCCATGTCTTTTCCTGCAAAGCCGACTATCAGATGAGAACATGCTTTTACAAAGCATTAAGGCCAATCAGCCAGGCAAGCGTTCTTACAAAATAAGAAGTCTCCAGAAAAATACCTAAAACCCTACTTTTTGAAACACAAGAGGCTTATTGCTTTAAATACTTTAACATATAAATACATCTTTACCAGATTATTAAATAAACTGGAAAGAACTGTGGCCCATTCACACCAAATCTGAATGTAAAGCACCATATACAAGCTTTAAAACAAATAATTTATCTATGAACTCCTTCACAGACTATTTATTTAATCATTTAAGTTCATTTTTAAATTAAATGAAAATCTTCAAAGGCTACAAACAGTTTTTGTTTGTATACCAAACAAAAACAAATCCTAAAACACTTAAATACAAAAATAAATAGTCATCATCATAATGAAAAATATTTGAATAAAAAAATAGAAAACTATATATAAATTTAAAAAAAAGAAAAAAAAAATAGAAAACTATATATAAAAACTATTTAAAAAATAGTTGTAGGGAAGAACATTTTTTACTTTCCTTCATTAATTTCATTTGCGCAAACAGCTCTGCATATTAACAACTGTTTGCAGATATCTTGAATTTTCGTGTTTCATGTTCATAACAAAATGTATTCAGGTATTCATTTTTATTTTTTAGAGAGAGTCTGTGCGAATAATTTTGCGCACAAATTTTTTTGTGAGTATTTTTGGTTCATGTAGTTAAGTCGCATATGCCTTGATGTGAACAGGCCTTTAATGTGGGTTTGATGATTGTGGTGCATTGTTTTGGATTCTGTGTTTTATACAATTATATTTACAATGTAATATAAATGTATTTTATATACACTACCGTTCAAAAGTATGGGGTCAAAAAGATGTAATGATTTTAAAAGAAGTCTCTTATGCTCACCAAGGCTGCAGTTATTTGATCAAAAATACAATAAAAAAAGTAATATCGTCAAATAGCCTGTTACTTTTATTAAAAGCTTTTTCTCTATTTTAATATATTTTTAATATATTTTAATATGTCATTAATTCCTGTGATATCGACGCTGAATTTTCAGCAGCTATTACTCCAGTTTTCCACGACACAGCACAGCTAGTGTGGATGGTTCACATTTTTTATGAGCTCATAGCCATATTGACTAAAATGAGCAGGGAAAAAGCAGCTCAGCTAGGCAAGTAAACCATCTACACAAAAAGACCACATTCCTAGCACTCAAGTTGCTTAAATGCCATGTCTTTTCCTGCAAAGCCGACTATCAGATGAGAACATGCTTTTACAAAGCATTAAGGCCAATCAGCCAGGCAAGCGTTCTTACAAAATAAGAAGTCTCCAGAAAAATACCTAAAACCCTACTTTTTGAAACACAAGAGGCTTATTGCTTTAAATACTTTAACATATAAATACATCTTTACCAGATTATTAAATAAACTGGAAAGAACTGTGGCCCATTCACACCAAATCTGAATGTAAAGCACCATATACAAGCTTTAAAACAAATAATTTATCTATGAACTCCTTCACAGACTATTTATTTAATCATTTAAGTTCATTTTTAAATTAAATGAAAATCTTCAAAGGCTACAAACAGTTTTTGTTTGTATACCAAAAACAAATCCTAAAACAAAAACTTAAATACAAAAATAGTCATCATCATAATGAAAAATATTTGAATAAAAAAATAGAAAACTATATATAAATTTAAAAAAAAGAAAAAAAAAATAGAAAACTATATATAAAAACTATTTAAAAAATAGTTGTAGGGAAGAACATTTTTTACTTTCCTTCATTAATTTCATTTGCGCAAACAGCTCTGCATATTAACAACTGTTTGCAGATATCTTGAATTTTCGTGTTTCATGTTCATAACAAAATGTATTCAGGTATTCATTTTTATTTTTTAGAGAGAGTCTGTGCGAATAATTTTGCGCACACATTTTTTTGTGAGTATTTTTGGTTCATGTAGTTAAGTCGCATATGCCTTGATGTGAACGCATTTAAAAATTTAAAGTGTCCTTGGCTGAATAACAGTATTAATTTCTTGACCTCAAACCTTTGAACAGTAGTAATATATACACGATACAAATAAATTATTTTGCTTTTTTTCCCTTAAAAGAGAACAAAATGTGTAAATATGTTACCAACAAAAAAGCACAAATTATTGACACAGAATTACTAAATTTACTGACAGCCCTAGTTGAATTTCTTCAGCAACCCAAGGTTGTTTATCTGAAGTAAAACACAAAGGAGTGAAATATTACAAAAAAAAAACAACAGCTGATACTGAAGGCCCTTTCTGCAAATAGATTAAACCATTTGTAATTGTAGGAAAGCATTTAACATTGCATTCCACAGCGTGTTTTATGTCTTTCCAAGATTTTAGAAGCTGTTTAGATTCTCACCGTAGCACGCAACACAGCACCATGAGAGGTGTGGGGACATTGGCAGGGTTCAGCATAGCTGGAGTGTCCGACCTCATGCAGGCCAAGAAAGCCCTCATCCTCCAGTTCTTGTCCTCCACTGCCTTGCCCAGCCAGAGTTTCTTCAGGTTTGGGCAGGTCCACTCCCGGAAGGGAAGAGCTTCAACTAGTTCAGGGGTGTGTGGAGATTTGCCTTTGTATGCAGCCCATTCTTTTATTATCACTGTTGGATCTATAAAGGCAGATCAAAAAAGCTTAACAGGGGAATTCGCCAAAGCCATTTAAAAAAACATTCCCTTTTTAAAATATTGAGGGTAAATGAACAAAGTTGATATCTTAACACAGGGTTCCTCAAATCTTGCCCTGGAGGGCCAATGCGCTGCAGAGTTTAGCTTCAACCCTGATCAAACTCACCTACCTGTGGTTTTCTAATGATCCTGAAGACAATGATTAGCTTGATCAGGTGTGTTTGATTAGGGTTAGCGCTAAACTCTGCAGGAAAGTGGATCTCGTGGGCCAGATTTGAGGATCCCTGTCTTAACATAAATCATTTTTGGGACATATCCAAATCTTCAGATTGGTGGATCATGGGTAGTGAAGTTTTTCCACTGTGAATTTGACAATTGACTGTTTTTGCCTAGTTGTGTAGTAATAGTATATATTGCTTAATTCTAGAGCTCATAGTAGATTTTAGATTTCTCTAATTAAATAAATAAAAGGAATGTTTACTTCTGAATAACAGTGTTTCCCTGTTCTATTTCCATATCTTGTATTCTAATTTCCAATGATGGGAAAAAAGAACATCAGCATTAACAGAACTAATGTTTGTTTTTGAATGATGCTAATTATTGAAGAATAACAAGCCTAGAATAACAAGCTAATGTCAACACTCAAGTGCACTCTCTGAATAATTAAATCAGCCATCAACAGGCCCCTGGAGAGAATTTAGGCATTAAGAGCAGGGTTGGGAACTGAGAACCGACTCTTACTTTGAGCCGATTCCAAGTATGTCAGAATACCTTTAACAATGCAGGAATATGCAAGAATCAAACAATAGTAACATTTATAAGATTCAAACCTCTTGTGCTTACAAAATTCAGAACAGTCTATATTGTGATAATACTAGTTAGGCTTTTTCACTGATTTAAACGCAGATTAATCCCAAGTGTGTGTTGTTATTTTTAGGGGAGAAGATTAAAGAAGATTAATTTTTTAACGTCATATCTGCATCAAAGGCTATATTAATGGAAAAAAACAATAAATTCATACATTTTGAAAAATGTATACAATTAAACAATAATTAATTTTTTTTAAACTTAAAACATTATGAGAACTATACAAAATCTTTTAGTTTAATACTGGACAAATTCAAAATTTGGACAACCTGTTATTGAAATAATAAATAATACCATTCGAGAAGATGACAAAACCTGTGATTATGTGTCAATGCTTCATGTAGATAGACTTATTCAGAAATATTTTCAAAATGTTGTAAAATTGGTTTAGGTCTGACTCAAGAATATTAATTACATTAAACAGATGGCTCCAAGAAGGTTATGTAACAATGTCGTAATTCGTAAATCTGCCAAACTGCCAATTGCTTATCAAATTGCATTGGTACTTCAAAAACACAAAACCTGGTGGTTCCAAAGCATTTTTTTATCAAAAACACATACAAATGTTTAGGTTTTCCTTATTAGTGATACTTATGATTGTTTAAAAAGTTTGACTGTTGCAATTTAGCTGATCAGTTCTGAAACTCACAATCAGGGAGGTGATTTCTCCTCATGGCGAGTCTCTCTGCCTTCTTTTTGGCCTCGGCCAGGCTGAAGAGCACCCCGTAAACATATTGACGGATTGGCCGGTACAGCTGCACTGCAGAGGGCAGGTCTTTGTTTGCTTCATCCTCTATGGTGACAGATAACTTTATCTCACCCTGCAAAAAATAACCATCAAACACTGTCAACCATAACAGTTTAACAAGAAGTAGTTTCAAAGTTACAGTTGCTAGTTGCTAGTAACTAAAAGCTGACCTTGGTAAGAACATGGTAAATGTATGGGTACATGAGGCCCTTTTTGTGTCTGTGCTCAGCGACTCGTAACACCTCTGGTGCCACCACTGGTAAAGGAGGAGTGGTAATATCCATGTGATTTCTTGTTGGCATAGAAAGGAGGGATGGAATATGGGCATTGACCCCTACGTGACCTCTGCCCTCCAGGCCTTGGTTTACAGGGGAGGTCACAGAAGGATCAGACTGAAAGAGAAATCAAAGAATTCACTAAATGGATATAACATTATTGTATCAAGATTATCTATCAAAAGTTTTCTTTACCAAGCATATAATATTTTAACACACAGAGCTAAAAAGTAGACCTACTTTATTTTGGTCTCCATGGTCTCCTTCTGGGATGTTATCCATCTGGTTTCTCTGTTTGTCCCATCCCTTATGGTCACTTACATGGCTACATTTGAGAATGAAATGGATGCACCAATATTAAAATTCAGCCAGATACCAATAAGCCATATTTTCATATTCTGCCCAATAACCGATTAACAGCCAATAGTAAAATTCTATAGTATTTTGTCTGAATAAATTAAAATTAAACAGTAAAAATTAAAATAAACATTTTTTAAATGCTACAAGTGAATTTAAGCATCACAACATTAAACATTACATTGCCTGGAATGTTAAGCATCTGCGGTGCTGCTGGCAATCCCATCTGATTTGGTCTGACTGTGGGCCAAATGTAAAAAAAAAAACAGTCTGGTTCAATCTCTGGAGCAAAAACTGAAAAAATGTAGAGGAACTTGGAAAGAAAAACAGGCATTACCAGAAAAGATATATATTTTTTATATATAAAATATATTATAATACATTATATATATATATATATATAAAGCCCTAACTGAGATTCTCATTATACCGCATGTCCACCCACCGTGGAAGCTTACCTTGATGCATTCAAAATATGTGTAGGCACAGAGATGTAACGAGGTATATGAAACACAGCTCATGTCCATACCATTCTAACAACCAGAACATTTAAAATCATTCAAAAAGTAAATCTGCCTGAATTCAAATAAGCACAATTATAGTTCTACAAGACAACCACTATAATTTGTCAAACATGCTCTCACTAACTGGAAGATGTCGAATTTAATTCTTCTCTCATCTGATCATCTTCAATTGACAGCCGTTTAATGAACCTGTTAAAAGTTTTCAGGCAAGCGGAGCTGAGGAGAGTTTTTCCAGACTAGCAGCTCTCTGTGCAAGAGTCTTTTATAAAAAAGCCCATTTGTATGCACAGGGCACAGCGGCCATTTCAAGCGCAAACAAGGTCCGGGGCAAATGGGAAAACTTCTCACATTACTGTGAGGGCTGAGACTGAGAGATGGTTGAGAAAGAGAGAGCGTGCCTCTAAAACCTAGCCTCAAACACAGACAGGAAAACACAACACCAGGCGAGCATTAGTAGACTTGTCCTGCTCCAAGAATTTAACAAGCACGAACCAACAGGAACAGATGTCATTCTGTGAGAGAGGGAAAATCAAAGATATTGACAATCTTACCTAAATGGGGGAAGTGAAGGGGCTTGCTGGCGGTGGCATAATACTCCACTGCTTTTTTGAAACGGACAACTTTGTCATCAGTTCGAGACTAGAATGCAAAGCCACAGAATTATCACATATTGTCTGTCCACAGTTCTTGATAGTTGATAGTTCCCCCCAAAATGAACAATTTGTCATCCTTTACTCACCCCAATGTTGTTCTAAACCAATATAACTTTATTTTGTCGAACACAAAAGAAGAAAACAAAACACTGAATTTTTAATTTTTTGGTCCATACACTAAAAGTCCATGTTGTCCAATTTGTTGTTTTGGACCCCATTGACTTTCATTGTATGGACAAAAAAGCTGAATAATTCTTCTTTTGTGTTCTGTACAATTTGGGGGAAAATCTAATTGTGATTTGTCTAATAAAAATAGTGACTGCAGTTTAAAATGTATTTTTTTATATTTTAAAGCTGCAGGTTTGCTTTGCTTGTTTGTAGAGGAAAACACAGGCTCCACTGTCAAGTGAGTAACCGAGAACATGTATGGGAATGTATGTGGGATATGTCGACTTTTGAAAACAGCTTTCTTCTAATCATAAATTGAACCTAGGTTTTGAGAGTATAGGTAGTTTTGTGGGTAGAGTTATTGTTTTAATGCTTACAGCCATAGATTTTGCTATAGAAAGTGTTGTTTGCTGTACTGACTGAGCTATTCTACAATGTCATAAATACATTTTGCTTAACCAGTCTCTGCGTACATAAACATTCAAATCTGATGCATTTTTTGTTTTCATATTAATTAGGGATGTACAATATGTGCATGTATATATGTATATATAGGACATATTAAATTGATCAAAAGTGACAGTAAATACATTTACTTTGTTACAACAGAGTTCTTTTTCAAATAAATACTCTTCTTTTGACTTTCTATTTATCAGTCAATCCTGAAAAACGTATCATAGTTTGAACTTTTGACAAAAATATTGAGCAGCACAGCTGTTTTAAATATTGATAATAATAAGAATTCTTTCTTGAGCACAAAATTAGCATAATAGAATGATTTCTGAAAGCTCATGTGGCACTAAAGACTGGAGTAATGATGCTGACAGTCGAGCTTTGCCATCACAGGAATAGAAAGTGTCAAATATTGTTTTAAATTGTAATAATATTTGACAATATAAAATTTTTACTGTATTTTTGATTAAATAAATGCAGCCTGGGTAAGCACAAGGGATTTAAATAAATAATAATTATAATAGTCCCCTATATATATATATCATAGTTTGAACTTTTGACAAAAATATTGAGCAGCACAGCTGTTTTAAATATTGATAATAATAAGAATTCTTTCTTGAGCACAAAATTAGCATAATAGAATGATTTCTGAAAGATCATGTGGCACTAAAGACTGGAGTAATGATGCTGACAGTCGAGCTTTGCCATCACAGGAATAGAAAGTGTCAAATATTGTTTTAAATTGTAATAATATTTGACAATATAAATTTTTTACTGTATTTTTGATTAAATAAATGCAGCCTGGGTAAGCATAAGGGATTTAAATAAATAATAATTATAATTGTCCCCTATATATATATATATATATATATATTAAAATAACAACCTTTCCAGTTTGATAATTACAATAAGCCATACAGCGATGTTGTTTTTATTCCGATTAATTATGCAGCCCTACATGGGGTTGAGTAAATGATGACAATTTTCAGTGTTTGGGTAATCTATCCTGTTAAAGGTGCTCTGATGGTATGGTATGTTACCTGGGAGTGCTTGAATATGTCTTTTGCAATAGCTTCCAGGTCATGGATATCTTGAAGGTTGCGGACATAGTCTGCCACGGCTCTTATGACGACATCACATGGAGGAAGAACAAGTTGGTGGGCACGGACCTGCATCAGAGAAAACAACCCATCACACCCCCAGCAAAAGCTCCTTCTGCTTAAAATGTGATGGGCATCATAGGAGTACATATCTGACTGGGTACAATCCGATATATTTACAGACACACACATATATATTAGGTTTATCAAGCTCAATTGACAATGGATATCATAAACGGCAAAAAAAAGAGCATTTTTATGCAATAACAATCAAATGACTACCAACTATAGACACAAACACAGACATATGCAAAAATGAGCCGAGAGTGATGGTGACAAAAAGTAAAGAAGCACGCACGGATGTGCAAGTCAGGTGTTAAAATCGAGTATAGCCCACTCTACTCTATCTCACATTGAATCAATGAAGCCATCTGTCAAGCAACACCAACACCGAGACAAGATAACAGAAGGTTACGCATGAAGCCATTCCTCAGCTCAACTCTTTCCTTTATAATCGCAGTGCTTGATTTGTTTGGGCGAGATTCAAAGACCGAGTATTTAAAACCAAAAGGGTACACGTTGAGGACAATGCTGAAGTGATTTTGCATGGTCCTGATAAGTTATTTGCCAGACCTCATTTCAATCTGGTTGTCAAGGAAACTGGTCACAGTAGCTTATGACTGAGGGAATCTAATGAGAACTGAAGTCTTATTTTTGCACCCTTTAAACATTTATTAGTCAATGAAGAAAACCTTGAAGTATCTGAATTGTTATACACATTTATTTCCATTATGTGACGCATTTACAAGTAAAACAACTGGATATATTCAACTGGAATTCCACAATGGAGCCAGACTAAATGCATGTTTGCGAAAATAGTTCTTAAATAGATATTTGGTTATTTAGTGTTGTGCTAGGTATAATAATCAAGCATACAAATATATATGCAGAGACCAGGGCAAAATCAAGATTTTACCTTCAAGGATGCTAAAGGATGCTCAGGGCCAAGTAAACTCCAGTGAAAGGCAGCCAAGTCTTCATCAGGCAGTATGTGATTCCCTTCAAAAACAGCATTTAGTTATTTGATCATGAATTGCAGAAGTACTAAGTTGTACACTTCATTATTGCAGCTGGAAAACATTTAACAGCCATGAAATTCAACAATTTGTGACATTATTGATCATATTTGAGCCATTCTTTCTACTGCATTAGTAAATAAAGACAGTCAAGAAAGTTTTGAGATATCCAAGGTGGGAAATCAAATTTTCAAAAACACTTAATAGTTTGCATAATATTGTAATAATTCATATATTACTAATTAATTAGAATATTAGAATAAATTATAATTACCTTAAAGTAATAAAATGCAAATAAATATATTCAACAAAGTCAACGTAAATCAGTTCCCAAATGGTTTACACAACATTTTACTTGCCTAATCTTATACAAAGTTTGGGGTCAGTTAGATGTATTAATGTTTTTGAAAGAGGTCTCTTATGCTCAACCAAGGCTGCATTTATTTGATCGATCTAAATTAATTAATTAATTAATTAATTAAACAGTAATGTTGTGAAATATTACAATTTAAAATAACTGTTATTTTAATATTTTAAAATGTCATTTTTTGTGTGATGACAAAGTTGAATTTTCACATGATCCTTCAGAAATCATTCTAATACGCTGATTTGCTGTTCAAGAAACATTCCCTATTATTATTAATGTTGAAAACAGTTGCCTTGCTTAGTATTTTTGTGGAAACCATGATTTTTCTGGATTTGATGAGCACAAAGTTTAAAACAACAGCATTTATCTGAAATAGAATTTTTTTGTAAAATTATGTACATAACACTTCAATTTAGAACAACCTTGCTGAATAAAACTATTAATTAAAAAGAAAATACTAACCCCAAACTTTACAAAAGAAAAATGTAAAGCGAGACTTGATTTTATCCACGGGAACTGATTGAATTGATTAAAATATTTGATGGATAAAATATTACAAAGAAAACCATTTTGTCTTTAGAAAAACATGCACAGCTGAATCCTTCACAATAGGGCTGCACGATTAATTGAATGCGATTGTCATGCGCATCTTGTCAGTAAAGCCGGTTCTGTGATTAGTAGTAAATCTCCATCACATGTTTTCAGATGGAGCAGCATTTACTACACAGAGCCGTAGTTCACTGACAAGCTACGCAAAATCGCGTTCATAATCGCAGACGATTAAGAAATCGAAGAAATCGTTCTGCGATTATGAAAGCTGTTTGCTTAGAGCGCCCTCTGGCCTTCGGATGGTGATTTACTAATGATCACAGAACCGTGCTTCACTGAAAGACACGCATGACAATCGCTGCTTCTGTCTAATCGCGATTTATCGCCTTTGCAATTTAATTTCGATTAATTGTGCAGCCCTACTTCACAATATGACTAAGAACATGCATTAAGCGAATAGGACTAATGGAGATGTCATTTTGACTTGAAAACTGCCAGGCAATCCTACAAACCTACCTAAAAGTGAAGCAAAAATGACAAAACGATTTGGATTGAGATTAAGTTGCTTGGCAACTTCGTGCATCAGGTATTGGCTGGTGGTGAGGCTTTTGCCATTGCGGCTGAGTTTGAGAGCATGGGCACTGAAGTAGTATGGGATGTTGCACAGGGCATAATCAGAATCATAGGCAACCAGGCCATGGAACCCATTTTCCCTAAATAAGGCAATCACTTCCTGGTGATGATCCTCGATGGTCTGGACAACCTGAGTGAGGAAGCAAATTACAGAAAGGCTCATTAGAAGAACAAAAACAAATTTACATTGATGAGGTTGACTATACTGCAGGGTTTCACAGATTTCCATGAAAGGATGTGAGGCACGTTTAGTCTGGGAAATGTTATTTCTAATTGTATCATATAATGGTTTCTCTGTCAAATGCTTTAATCGATTAGCACTATTTGAATGAATCAATGAACCATGATTCTTGGCTGTGATGTGAATTTTAAAACTATTTATTGAACAAGAGGATGTTCACTGGGCTAGGAAACAAGGCTTGACTCGTAAACATATACATTTTTAAATCAATCATATTTCACATTTTCTGCCCCACATTTCATAGCTTCTGTATTGACTCAATGTTTATGAGAACAGGAGATAAGAAAAAAAAATCCTAGTAGCATAATAAACACTTATGCTGAAAGTCCTCTGAAAAATAAACTAAACGAATAAATGCAAATAAAAGCATTCATGGGCCAGAATCTCATAAGTCATGTCTCTCTGCTCAAAACAGGGCCCATAAACTTAGTCACAGCCTGTATGGCTGCTAAATCTCAGCAGAAGTGACGCAGGGAGCATGCAGCCAATCACAGAGCAGTGCTTACTATTCTTGTGCCACAAGAGTGTGACACATCAGCCAATCACAGCAGAGAAGAGGTGGCGCTTCCTTTTGCCAGCACAGCCTACTACTACATGGTTTCATTTCAGCATTCATACATAAATGCATGGTTTTTATTCTATTCTGGGATGTTTGTATTTGGTTGTTAATGCATAAGGTTATTAGTGTGTAGACATACATTGCACTTTTAATTACTGTTGATGATCCAGGTGAAAATGTTAAAATAATAAATATTTTATACATGTTTTTGTTATCATTTATACAACAATTACTTAATGTATTTTTTTTATATTGTCATTCATTTTTCACTTGTGCATCCTTTTCATTCAGTTAATTTTTTTCCTCTGTAATATTGTTGTAAAACTGTATAAATACTGTATAATTAAAGGCGTAATATATATTTAATATGTATATATTAATAATAATAATAATATATAATAATAATAATACTAATACTACTACTACTAATAATATATTTATAAGCAGTGAACCAAAACCATACAATCTGATTATGGTTTTAAAATATTAGGTTTTAATTTTTTTTTTTTAGAGTTGCATGCACTGTTAAAGGCATTAAAATGTAAAAAAACAAAAAAAAAACACAGACTGGCACAGTTTTGGATTTGTTTCTAAACAAATTTCTAAAACACCATCTATTAAGCCAACATGACAGTAACGTCCTGTACAGCTGGCATCTCTATGTTCCCCAAATGCCTGTGGAAATAAGATCTGATTGGAACAGACCTGTTTTCCTCTGCACACCCACCCCAAATATTTATGTTCCAACAAGTTGTAATCCTGTGTAAAAAAAAAATAAAAATCTTAAACCAGCCTGAGCTGATTTGCAGGACTGTAAGTTGATTTTAGAGAGGTATTGGGCCGTTTTCAGCCAGTCAATCAGAGAAAGTCAAACCAGCTGTCTGTGTATATGATTTAAGACCTACACTGGTTTTCATATGAATAATGCAGTTTCAATAACAGCCTAGTTTGGTCTACTGGGCTGGTTTCAGATTGGTTTTGAGAACTTTTCAGCTTGGCCAGGCTGTGAAACCAGCTTAAATAAGCTGCTGATCTTGTTTTGAACATCTTTGTATACATGCAAAATGCTACATGAAAACCAGTATAGGTCTTGATTAAAATCTGAAGAAAACAGTTGCACAGTTTGATAACCTAGCCTGGTTTAACGACTGGTTTCAGAGTGGTTTGGTGAACTTTTCAACTTGTCTAGGCTGTGAGACCAGCTTAAACCAGCTAAGACCAGCAAGGCATCTTAGGCTGTTTTGGTTAAGCTAGATACACAACAAGAAAGCCGTCTAGGCCACCTGCTACCTGCCAACTTACTGTCTTCTAAGACGAGCACTTCACTTGATCTGGGTCTGGTTCTGCTAAGCTAATGGCAGCATATGTCAAAACACGAGTATCTGTCGCTACTCACCCCGATGTGGAACCTGAGGAGCGCCAGGCGGATGCAGTGGGCCATACACACCGGGGGCAGGAACCAGACCTTGGGCGGCGGGGTTCCCTTGTTCTGGACGTGGCTGACGATCTGCTGGGCGGTCTGCCTCTCGTTCACCTGTCGCTTGACCCACTCGTGGAGACGGCCTTTCTCCAGGGCGCCATTGAAGCACACTAGCAGCTCGATGTTGCCGTTGAAACAGGTTTTGGCGAGGGCGGCGAGGTACCCGAGCATGTGGTTCCACTGGCCTCCGCTCACCCAGTCGGTGTAGAAGCCGCCGTAGAGCCGGTGCAGGCAGTTATCGGCGTCCACTAGCAGCCGGAGCGGAATTTGAGGGGGTCTCTGCCGGCCGCCGCCGACCAGACTCCCGCGGGCGAGCTTCTGGAGCTCCACCGGCACCACGGCGTTGGGACAATGCTTCTCAATGTATTCCTGGAAACCCTGGACACCCATGACTGTTGTTGTACAATATGATATCTACGGTTATTTCGGGTTGAATAAGAACGTAAAATTGTCTGGAGGAAATGGAGACAGAGAGAGAGAGTTGCAAGCAAGCAGCCTCTCCCGAATGCTGAAAACCGGACTGAAGAATATTGCGGCGGAGGTGGAAGTTGATCAATCGAAAATCAATCAAATCGGAGATGCATCTGTAGTTTTTGGTGAGTTGTTTTTTGGTTCATGGCTGCTAGCCGCCATGTGCACCCTTATGGAGCCATGTCTGTGGTCTGGATGTGTCTGGTGTTGAGGGGAAAGAGAGGAGCGCAGAGACGCAGGGCACGTACAGTACAGAGGAGGAGTCTGGAGTTTAGTGGGCGCGGTTCGCTTGGAGAACTGTTGCATGTTATGATACTCTCACTATTATAAAACGTCTCATAATGGCTGTTTAAAAAAACAAATGTATATATATATATATATAAACACACACACAAAAAAACATTTTAAAGTTAGTAGTAAGACTTGTTATTAGTAAATGTTCTTAAAGTTAATAGCTTTTTTATACTTGGGGTCCATCTGTTGGTTGAGGGTCTGGTTGGGGTCCCTGGTTACAGCAAAACTAAATGTTTTTCTAGGTTCAATCGATAGAGGGCGCCAGCCCGTTATTTATATTGTACATAAGAAGCCAGCCATTACTCATTAGAAGCAGACAGGTTTGCACATTCACAAGATTTGATCTAATTTGATCTTACACATCTAAGTAATTTGAACTCTTTTAATGTAAAACAGCTGGAGGACTTTAAAGAGATAGTTCACACTAAAATTACAATTCTGTCATTTTTCCACAGAGAGTTCCACAGAAGAAAGGAAGCTATAAACAGATTTAAAACGACATGATGGTGAGTGAATGATGATAGATTTTTCATCTTTGGGTGAACTATCCCTTTAACTATTAGGCTATCGCATAAGACAGCTATTAAAATCACAACATAGCCTATTAAACAGTCAGAAAAATGTTGGTAAGTAACATTTTATTTGTGTCAAGAAGAAATATATCATAATTATATGTGGGGGGGAAACAGAATGCTACATTCTTAGAGTGTATGAAAAGACTGAAAACTAGAAAACTGACAAATTATACAAAAAAGTAACATCAATTGTATTGAGGAAATATTTACATTTTGCTCAAACACTGAATTTTCAATAATTGTACAAAAAAGAGACACATACTATAGTCATCTACATACATTTTGTCTACTTATTATGACCAAAAATCTGTATACAGTGTCAGGCATTATAAAAGTGCAATTTTTGCTTAAGTCATTTAAAGTCTGAGGTTTGGCAGAGTGAGTACACAAAAAATAATAAGGCTAATAGATGCACAGATCGTGTTTAAGACTGTTACTCTATTACTGTTTTTAAAAAGAACAGTTCACCCGAAGATTAACATTCTGTAATAACATGACAGAATTTTCATTTTTGGGTGAACTGTCACTTTAACATCTACACAGCAACTAGTATGTTTTCTGTGTTGTCTTTTTGTGTTTACATGCACAATCATACAATGATATTGCTTAATAACCCAACAACATCTAAGTCCAAACAATGTTCTTTTATCGATTAACATTTTTAAATGGTGAAAGCAAGACCTGATTGCAACACATTTTTAATATCTATATGTAAACACCTTTACCGATATTTGTACAAATACTTTTATTTTTGCATCAGCATACTGTTGTGCATGTAAACACATCAATGCCATTATTTGAGGTTATAATTATAAGTTGTCCCTTTGCTACCTTTAACACTGCCTCCTCATCCAGACTAACAAGTTGGGGGAAAAAATCAGTGAAGCTTCTTTTAACGGTGGCTGGTTTAGACTCACATACAAATCACACAAATTGAGATATTTCACATATACCACGTTGTCTTCACCAGCCCACGTCCACACGATACACTGGGCAAACAGATGGCAAAACTGCTGCTCAGACGTCCAGTGACATTCTGAAGTGTTGTGCCCTTTGAGCCAACTCTTTGGCAATGCCCTGCACCTCCTGGAGAGCCAGTTTGTCAGGGAAGTCCAAAGCTGCCTTCTTGGTCATCATGGCCAGTTGCTTGAGATGGGCACACAGCTGATTGCTCACAGACAACATTTCCTGGCTGGCCTCACGATTTTTAGCTTCACTACACAAAGTGTTCACAAGTCTTTGGCCCACCATAATGACCAGCTTGCTGTGGGAGATGAACTTTTCAGGTGGCTGGCCATCATTTAGGCTACTTATAAACACACTGATGGCCTTCTGAATAGCTCCAAAATACAGCCGGCAGTGGTCAGAGATGGAAGGCTTCATGGAGGTCTGGACTGGAGTGCAGGGGTTAACTGATAGTGATTTGGAAACCTTTTGAAGACACAGTGAGTAATAAATTGTTTTAGAAAGCTGAAATCAATCAGTTTTGAACACAATACTGTGAGCTGTACTGTCAGGGTCACAAGCTTTTACCTGTTTTTTCAAGGTATCACCGTTTCTCTTTGATTTAAGACTGCTTTTTGCTGGTTTTAGTTGTTCGTCAAACTCTGTCTTTGTCTGTTAAAAAGCAGTAAAGAATTAATACTGAATACTTAAGCAAGAGAACATCAAACTGATTAAAAGTGACAGAAAAGACATTTATAATGTTATGTTGTATTTTTCAAATAACAATCGTACAAAATGTTTCTTGAGCAGCAAATCAGCATATTAGAATGATTTCCAAAGGATCATGTGACACTGAAGATTGGATGAAATGGCTGATGAAAATTTAGATTTGCCATCACAGGAATAAATGATATTTTAAAATATATTAAAATATAAAACAGTTATTTTAAATTGTAATTGTAACTTCTACTGTTAATGGATCAAATAAATGCTTAAAAAGTTAAAAAGATTAACTTTGCTGTCATTAATACAAATCAAATTAATAATTTAATATTACTATTACATGTAGTCTTTAGCAAATTTCAAAATGAATATCCATTTTTCATACTGTACATTATAATGTTGTGATGCTTAAATTTACTCATAACATTTACAATGATTTACATTTTTGTTAGCGCATTATTTTTAATTTTCTAAATGTATTATGATTTAATATTTAATTTATATTATAGTATAAATTTATAATTTAACGTTTAATATCAACCATTTCTCAGTTATAGGCCATAACATGAAAATAATTATGGTCTTATCAGCTTGAGGTGTGATTTGCCTACCTGAAGTTGTACATAGTCACTTTCATCTATTCCTGAGTCTACCATTGGTTCACTTTTGCTCCTTTCAGATGTGCTTATATTCTCCACTACGTCTGGTTCCTTAGCCGGCACTCTGAAAAGAAGCTTTCCGTTTGCATTCAGGATGGATACCAGCCTCTTCACATCCTCTGGTACGGTTCGAGCCACCATAACAAAGCGCTCCAGGTGGTCAGGTGTCTGTGACTGATCGGCATCCTGAGCTAGCATATCCAGCAGCCAGCCCAGATCTCGCAGAGTCCTTGCAGCCTCCTGAAGGATCAAGCCCGAGTCTTCAATGATGGAGAGCTGCTTCAGCAGCCTGGTCTGCAGGTTTAAGTCTGTCAGCCGCTGTGCGTTACCTCTGACATCCAAGGCGAAGTTCAAGAAACAGGTGACAGAGTCAGTCACATCTTCGGTGGCCATGTGGATCTGATGGAGGTGCTGACTCAGATGCTCTTTGGTTCTCCATTGGATGCTGACGAACAGCATAAGCTTGGGCACAGATTGGCACACCGCTTCTTGCAGCTCAAGCAACCTGTTGCTGACTTCCTCCTGTGAAAGTGTGACCTCACGCAAGGGCTCAGGTTCAGGAGAACTTAGCATGAAGGAGTCGCATGAGCTCCTGGAAGAACTGGAAGCAGTGGAGGAGGTGGACACCGTTGAGCTCCTCTGGTGGTCTTTGTTGTCCCTTCTAATCGTCCCTTTCACAGGCTGCCTGGACGTTGTCCTGCCCCTCGAGGGCCAACGATGAAGTTGGTCATACATGGGTCCAGGTTTATCCCTGTACTCAATGGATTCATGGCTCATTTTAGAGTCCGTTTCAGGAGGGCATTGCTGTCTGGGTAACACTACAGGGCCCTCTGTTTGTTTAAGGCAAGGTGGGACATCATAGATGCATGTATTTGTTGAATTCCCAGTGTCTGTACAAGACTTCTCCACTGCTTTGCTCGGTTTGGGGATGTCATAGAGGGGCTGGATGGGACCGTGCTTCATTTCAGGCCAGCTGTGATTTGGCAAAGTGTCATAAAGTGGCTTGTTTGAATACATAGTTTTGGGTGGCATGGTGCCATAGTAACAAGTTTCACTTCCTTGTTTTTTGGGGGAAACAGGCACGTCATAAATCCATTCAGACTTACAGGGTTTTGGCATGGTACTATAACGACATAGAGGCTTTTGAATATCGTCATTGATGAAGGGCACTGGGATGTCATAATTGGGGTCTTGGGAAATCAATGGGTGTATGGTGGCGACCTAAAAAAGAAGGAAATAAATAGCAAATTTCACTTAGAAATGGACTTAGAAATTTCACAAATTGATTTGATTCAGCTTTTGTATTGAATCGGTTATATCAGTAAAGATGTCTTCACAGTTTTAATGTGTTTGTTTGAGTTGCTGTACAGGCGTTACTATGCTTACTTTTTTCTTGGTTGAAGGGGCGCATCTCGCTCTTAGTAGTTCATGTCTGTTATGAAAGTCGGTGCTTGACATCAATGATGTTTTCCTTTCCAAAGGCTTCAGTGTAGATGGCTTCAAAAGACAAGTTACACAATTTACGACGTTATCTTTGATCAGTATTATTTTGCAGAGTATTTCTTAAGGTGACATTCTACTCTTCTTAGTCTTTTGAATGAATAACCAAAAATGACAAGTGCAAGGGTTTTTAAACATTTCAATGCCAAAGACCCCCCAAAATAAAACTACATTTTTTTCATATATAAAGACCTAGAGAAAAAGAAAAAAAAATTAAGTGTTATTTTGTAAAGAAAACATTTTATTTTATTAATATTTCCAAAATTAAATGATACGTATTAAATGATTTTAAAAATGATAAAAAAAATAAAAATAATAATAATATATCAGTCAGCAAATCTTTATCTACCCGCCATTAATATTAGATGCATAAAACAGACAAAAAAAATCCAGTTTTCACAATTTTCTCTATATTATTTATTTAATAATTTTCTATTTTTTAATGATATATGGATTTGTTTTTTATTGATTTATGCTGTATTTTTATACTGACCAAACAATCTCTGTCAATAAAAAGTAAAAATGTTTCCTATAACTGTTCA